CGTCGCAGCAAACGGATGCCGTTATGAGAAAATTGCCCCTGTTTATGTTAGTGTTACTTGTAGTGGTGGAGGTTACACCATGAGCAGGATCACAGTCGATGGTTACTTCATCAACTTCGGTTGGAACTATGAAGGCTTCGCTCACTTCCACCGCTTTTCGCTTTAGTTCCTTCACATGATCGATCACGCTTCCTAATAGAGCCGCTTTGTCCATCTACACAAACAAAGATCAACTTGTATGAGGAAAGTTTTCATGTTGCGAGACATGCTATTATGTTGTCAAACTGTTAATCATGAATTAGTTGAGACTGTCAAGTCATGTATGCATGCAGAAGAGATGTTATGTTGTCGGAAACTGTCAATCATGAATGAGCCAAACTTTTATCTCAACACAATGAGGCATGTTATGTTTATATTGTTAGATTCTGAATCAGCTAGAGACTACCAAGAAAAAGAAAGAGCATATTCTGTTATGTTGTTAGATTGAATCATCAATGAGGCAGATGTCGAGAAGGAGGAAGAGATGAACTAGCCAAAGTGTTATATGTGTACACGCATGGACGGAGCCAATGAAGTCTCACTGGGGCAGATGCCTCCATTCAAGTAATTCATTTGTTTGTTTAGTTGCAGACTACAATTATATATTATACATGGGTTATCTTTGAAGAAAATATATGTATCTAATATCCAACGTACATTCATTCTACTTATACTCAAGCAATAGTGCTCTTGTTCTGTCATTCAAATCGAAAAAATCCTCTCCCACCTATCATGTGGTTATATTTTTCTCATCACTTTACCACTTTCCACTACTATATTAAAATTTTTATAACATTAAAATTGTGATACATCATCATTTAAAATCATTCTTAATATCATATTGTGTATAACCATACCAATTGATTGCCTACACTAGAAGAAATTTCTGATTCCGTACACGAGATATATTATGCTACGTTATTAGACTGAATCATCAAGGAGGCAGAATGTCGAGAAAGAGGGAGAAATGAACTAGGCCAAGTGTTATTGTCGTGCGCGCGCGCGAGATATTCTATATTATGTTGTTAGACTGTTAATTATAATTTCCACAAACAGAAGAGAAAGTGGCATTATATATACCTTGTCTGACTTGGGAACGAGTTTCCTAAGAGTAGCAAGCTGTGCACTGATTCTATCTCTGCGCCTTTTCTCAGCCTGCCTGTGGCTCTTCGAAGCAGATGCATCTCTATCGTCTTCAAAACCGTCAGCTGCCGTCAAAGACCACGAGTTAGGCGGCAACCCACAAAACTGGAATTGATTAGTGCTCGACACATGAGGAGGAGGAGGAGGCCATGGAACCAGAAAGCTGGAAGAAGATTCATAGCTTACTGCAGCAGCAGCTGGAACTGCACCAGATTTGTACTGCTGTGGCCAGCTTACCCGTCCAGTCCCAGCATAACAACAGTTGTGATCCATGGCCAGAAAACACACTAGTAAACCGTATTCTAAAAACCTCAGTCCTCCAATCCCTCTTTGATTTTAATCTCACATATTCTGAGATCTACTATTCATAATGTGTGATTGGTATTTTTCCACAGAGCCCTTACACTTGGTCAAATGAAAATTGCTTTTGGATGTATCCGGCTGTCACCTCAAGTCTTCAGTACAATTTCTTTCTTCTCTCTTTCTCTTTAGGGTTCCGTGGTAATTGGTGAATCGGATAATAATACGCATTTGGCAGTAGCTCAACTGTACATCCAACTAAGTAAAACAGTACCGACAATGGCATAGATGGATTGACTTGATAACAGTAGTAGGAGAAATTCTTAAGTGCAGTTGTCGACCGGGCCGGCCTTGGCTATTTTGGGGCCCTAGGGCAAATACTAAATTAGGTCTTTCGTCCTTGTCATTATAAAATTTTCACAATACTCAAATGGGATGTAGGCATCATCTTTGATGTTTCTTTTATTTTTGTGTCCCCTCTCACCTCCACACCTTAAGATGGTTATTTCCAACTAGGCTATCATGAAACAGAAGAAGGAAAAAAAAAAGGAGAGGCTATTGTTACCTTTTCCACCATTACTAGGGTTTGAGGAATAAAAAACTCGAGTTGAAATAAATGGCACTAGAACGAGAAAAGAAAAGAAAGAACAAAATTGTACGAGAAGTCTTGGGAAGTCTTGGACTACTTATAACATGTTGGTCTAACCCAATTTCACCAATTGTGAATATGCTGCTACATATATACAACAGTTGCACTAAACAACTTCTAAATAGTCGGGTTGGAAGGATCGTCAACTCTAGGGGTATAAAATACTAACATGGTCTTAATCTGTGCCTTGTAACTTGATCCTTATCCAAACCCAAAACAAGTATTAACACAATGCTTTTCAGCCTTTAGATATACAAAGCTCGTATATTTAAGTCCCTGTATAAGCACTGTTAGGCTGTTTTAACTTACTCTAAAACACCTTTAGCTAGACCACAAAGCACACTGCCCACCACTCAATTCCAAGTGACATACAGCTGCTGGGTACTGAGTCTACTGACTTGGTTGCTTTCAGCAACAACTATCGAAACCTCTCCAGACTCCAATGGTGCTTTTTTATCCCCACTACAACTAGAACATGACAATTTTCGCACTCCACTCTCAGACATAGAAAATGTAGGGAAAATTAGCTTCACATCCTTCTTTTTGTTACTCCATTGATTAAAATCTTATGCATTTTGAATTTTTGATCAAGATCCTTGGGTATTAATAACATCATTAATTATTTGAATAATAAATTTTTTTTATTTTTAAATATATTCTTTTAGTGTTAAAAATGTTACAATTAGTATATTTATATTTATGGCTAAATTTTTTATCATATATTTTTATTTTTAGTTTGTACCTATTTTTAATTTGCAAATATTTTTTAATTTGTACCTATTTTCTTTTCATTTTTAATTTGTACCCATATATTAGTTTCTTTTTGTGCCCATACTTTTTAAAATTTTATTTGTGTTTGTACCCATATGTATACCGTCACATGACATTGTATATTTAATCAATGATAGAAAAATTACATATGATATATTTATGTTTTATGCCTAAACTTTGTATCATATATTTATATTTTTAGTTTGTACCCACTTTTAATTTGCAACAATTTTTTTTAATTTGTAGTATTTTCTTTTTAGTTTTATTTTGTACCCATGTATTAATTTCTTTTAGCGCCTATATTTTTAAAAATTCATTTGTACTCATAATTTTTAATCTTTTATTTGTACCCTAATTTATTTATAATGTACCCATTCTTCTTTATTAATGTACCACTTTGTTATATGTGAAATGTACCAATTTTTTAACACTATGGATACATTCTTTTGCCATTTATTATTTCTTATTTTTACATAGTTTTTATCCATTTATTCAATCAAAATGTTTGAATTTTTTTATTGTAACCGTTTCTAATAGTATTATAATGAGGGATTTTAAATTTAAAGGATTATAAATGTCATAAAATATCAAACAATTAATGTCAAAACTATAAAAATATAAATATTAATAGTAATATAATGAGGTGTACAAAGTCAAGGGACCTTAATCAAACTTTGAATACTATTAAGGTTTTAATTAAAGAATGTTAAGTATTAGAGACCGCATCCAAAGTATCCCCTGTTTAGTATTATTTAAATTGAATAGTTTTCTCCCAACACAACCAACGTACATCTTCTATTTTCTAACAGTAAATTACAACTGTTAAGTATTATCGAGTTGAATAGTTTTCAATTTTAACAACGCTCTATCATGTTACGTTTTCAATCCGTTGATAAAAGCTTCTAACCATACATGGTATGGTCTCGGAATTCTCCATTGACGATTTTTCAACACAACATTACTCATGTACCGTCAGACAAGATCATTTTAGGGGTATGTGAGATCTCCATGTATACCCACATTTTTAGTGACTTTGTTTGTCTTCTTCTCTCATGGGTTTGTTGGTACTACACAAGCAGACAAAAGAGCTTGAAATAGCAATGAACAATGGCAGGATATGTGCATATAAATAGGGCCCTTGATTTTACACTCAAACATTGTAACTCGCCATAAAAGAGCGGAAATGGCGGATGATATTTTATTGTAGTGGTAAAATATAATAATATTTACGTATTATGATGCGAGTTTGATATTATTAATTTTTTTTTATTTAAATTAATAATTTAACTCACTAACGTTATCAATTGTAAAAAATAGAAAGGGTCTTTAAAGATTGATACAACATCTGATCAACCTACTGGCTCCCTATCGTCTCTATTTCCCTCATTTTTTTTTCTTTGTTATTGTACTGATATCACGAATGCATGTCTTTTGGGTCCCCATTTGTTTGGTTCATCGTTTTTCCTAAATAATGTATCGTCGGCAGGATCCACGAGATAAAGGTGCGTAGTCTACGGAATCTGAGTATGAGATGGCTCCAGCGGGTTGGGCCACTTTGGTTTTGGCTCTGGTCATAGATGAACTCATGGTCATGGGTGTTTGATGGGAGAACAACTTACTTAGAACCACCACTACTGCAGTATCTCAAACTAATAATATATTGATTTGTGAAAAAATTTACACACATAACATTAGATTTTTAGTTTGAAATCTACTAACGTACCTAGTGTAGGTAACTCTCTCTCATCTGATCAACCTTAAAAAGTTTATGTTTAGGTGCATAGCAAGACAAGATCTGTAGTTATAGGTTATATCTCTTGAAGTGGGAGGTAAGTTTAGCTATCCTCAGTTGTATCTTTCCTTATTTCTATTTTTTTGAGCATATAAGCAGTCACGTGATGTAGAGAGATAAACGCAAGAAGATATATAATCTGTTAAGGGCACATTCTCTCATGAGTTGAGTGTGTCAACAAAACAAACCTAGCACACAAATAAAATAAAATGAGCCCTAAGGTCAATGTTAATCTTAACAAAAATACAAAGTGAAATACTTTCTTGTTAATTTTGAAGTAGTTGAAGTGAAAAACAAGGGAAGAAGTTCAAAGGAACTGAATAGCTTTTACCATATGTTTCTCTCCAATGAAGCTACAAAAGTATACTTGCAGTAAATGTTGAATACTGATGATACAAATATTGACCCTGCAAATCTTTGTACTGTACATCTTGCCTACAATGGTTTCAAACCCTAGTCCTGTGCAAGATGAGAACTTGAGTACACAGAAGCATCAAGGTGGCTGGTGCAAAACCCCGGGATGCCAACCGCAGTGCATCTCAATTTTCATTGAAATGGATGGCACCAAGTTTCCAAACCACGTACGTTGTAGCGAACATCACCGTGCTGATAAATACAAATGAAAAGAGAATTAGAAACAGATCATTGCCCCCCGGAAAATCCCAAGTTAGGCCCTGCTTTGGCATTCCTCGCTTACTGTCGTCAAAAATGTTTGTAGGGGCCTCTGGAAGTCCGGACCTTTTCTTCCCACGCTCGCTGTCTCTAAGAGCATCTAATACATTCTTGCCCCTAGCTGATTTTTTAAACGGCTTTGAGTCTGTGTAACGACTAAGAACCTTTGCCGCCCTCAATCTCTCCCTTGCTGTTAGCGGCGATCTTTTTGACTTGGGTTGAACGTCAGAAGTTTGAGATCCGGACTTATCAAGGACGCTAGTTTGGAACCGAGGCGAAGATGTTGAATCAACAGGTGGTAATCGGTCATCAGGAGAACTTGCAGTAGTTTCAGAAGCCTTGTCACCAGTGTCTGTGGTGAGCTGATTGCTATCAGCAACTGAGAGACATAAACCCCATCGTTTTTCGCTTACATTCCTCCTTTGTCCAAATGCTCCAAAGAAGGATGTGAATTGGGTGGTGGCCGCTGGTATAGAAGCTCCAACAGAACCTTTTGACACATTCTGGTACTTGGCCTGTAACTTGTAACGGAGAAGAACAAAAAATTAACGAGGGAAGCATCCACTTTCCAAGATATTTGGAATGGATCACAACAAAACATAAAACTGTAAGCTGAGATGTTTTCGTCTTTCGTCACAGATAACAAAAGCGCAGATATTTTGTTGAACAATCATCTCCTTCATGGCTAGAAACAGTTCCCTTGAACCAGTTTACGAGCAACGAAAGCATGAAACTATTCCACTACATACAACATAGTTTGTAAAGCAACAATGTCTAATTCAAAGGCACGATGGACTGTAACAATCATCTCTTTCATCAGGAGCTCTTCAATCTTCACAGCTAAAACCTTAAACCAATCCAAGAAAGCCTTATCCTGACCATCTAATTTCTCATCAGTATACCAAGTCAATCACGCACTGCCTCGAACTTACCCATCTCACGGTGCGTAATTGGCTTTGAATACCGTGACGGTGCCATCCTAGTGTAGGTAAATTTCTCTCTGCTCATGTAGCTTTTTCACTCCTTGAACCAAGATTCTTCCCCTAACACCATCTAATATCTAATTGAGCGGTGTTGTCCACACACCTCATTTTACCTTTTACACACTCTTCTCAATTTTCAACGGTCGAATCGAATTTATCAAAGAATATCAAATGATAAAAATTAAAAGACAGCGTGAGAGATAAAAAAGAATGTGCGGATAACATCACCCTATCTAATTTATCATACAATAAGCAAGCAACCCAGGAAATGATTGCTCCAAACTTTGCTGTTAAAGTGCATATCCAGTTGAATATATTTCAACACAAGAAGAACAACAAAAACTTCGAAAAGGAAAAATATAAAAATCAAGAAAAAGTAGAAACTGTTGTTGAAGATATGATGGTGCAGGTGAGGGAACATGGAAGTTACCGTGGAATTGAAGCCCGGCACCGAGTGGAATGAAACAGCCATTTTTACGGTCGTCTACGGCCCAACCATTTGGAGAGCGAAAGAGAGCTAGTAGTTTACTGTCTACTGTCTGCGTCGTGGTGCGAGCAAATGGTGTGGATAACCGGATGGTCTGTAATCCAAGGAGATGAGAATTTGATGCCACCACAAAATATCCTAGCCCGAACGGCATGTCGTTTATTGATAGAATAACAATTTGGAAAGTGCTGCAATTCACACTAATTTTTAACTCCAACACACCCTTATTAAATTTTTTTTTCATTGATCTTCTTCAATTTATCGATCCGACGGTCAAAAATTGAGAGGAGTGTATAAAAATTAAAAATAAGCATGTGAATAGCACTACCCTAACAAGTTTTGGTTAGATTTTGCATCTTCCAATGTTGTAGATTAAACTCTTTCTTTTTTTTTTTTTTTTTCTATTACAAACGATAATCCAATTATTATCTATGCTAAGATATAAAAAGAGGGAGAGAGAGTTTGAACCCTCGACGCAGTGGAATGTGCTGTAAGATGCTATCCACCACTATTATCACTTGTTCAACAAGAAATCCAATCTAACTCAACTTGCCACTTAATACTACGGTATAGTATTATTCATCTTTACTTGTATGTTAGATTTTAGGTTCGATTCTCGTCAAAGGCAAATTTGAACCATATTATTGCTAGCCTATTGTATGACTTAGTCTCCCACCCCTTAATATAGATAACATCGCTTTTTCACAAAAAAAAAAAAAAATTATAATCATCTTTTCCATAATAATATGGAAAAGACAGACAAGAGAAGCCGAAAATAAAGAGCGTCGTGAAGAGTAAACGGTGGATATCGACAACTGGTATATGATGTGAAAGCCGATACTACCAAACATTTAGAGTTACAGACAGTAGCACAATCTGTTCAGTTACTGGTAAGACTCAGGGTAACAAAATATGCAATACAACTGAAGTCCGATGCAAAAAGCTCCTCCGTTAAGTTACAAGTATATTGTGATTGATGTGAAGTCCATTTAAGTGAGTACTGGAGAGACTGCAGCTTTGAAATCTTCATAGAATCTTTGCTCCGAATATCTGCCAGCCCGTTTTCTCGCAGCTGCAGCCATCTTCAGCCTCTCATTTTCTGGCATCTTTATGACATTGAGAATGGCATCTGCATACTCGTCCACAGTACAGGCAAGAAATCCCGTTTGCCATCCATCTTCCTGTAAAACAATGTCCATTTTCGGGCCGGCAGAGTTATGTGCTGAGGCAAGAAGGGAAAACATGAAGAATATCAGCACAGGAAAACAAAATCATTTAGGTAAGATAAAAAGTTCGGTTCAAATGACAGATAACTTTCGATGCTCACCAATTGGGATGGCTCCTGCAGCCATATACTCCACTACACTTATGCCAAAGTGTTCATCCGTCATTGAATGGATTCCTGCAATGGCTCCTCCCAAAAGTTGAACCAAGTCCCTGTAGATGTGAAAACTAACCAAGGCTAAGAATGTGATAACACAATCCAAACAGGATTCACTTGATTAAAGCGGTAACTATGCTAATTACCCGAGTCCTTTCCAGAAGTATTATATGCCGTATATATTAGTCTCACTACTCATATGGTTCAAACCTCAAATAGGAAGCAATCAACAACTCAAGCCAGCCAAATATATTAAACTTGTGAACACACCATGCATGCATGGTTCAATAGAGAATTAGAGCAAGAGAAACACACTACTTATAAGTTGCATGAAAGGATGCACAACATGAAATCCTTAACACAGACCTGTACATGACATTTTTATGAAATTCTACATCCCCGTCCAACTTCAGTTCAATTGCTTTATCCTTCAAACGTTGTACTCTTTCCTCATCAGCTTTATTCCGACAGCTACCCACAAACTGAAGCTTAGGCCTGGGGAAGTGTGCATCTAATTTACCTATGGCAACTGCAAAGGCCTCAAGTTGGAGACCATGTGCCTGAGAACAGAACAATCAATTAGAAAGGACTAGCCAATAGCCACAACAAATAAAGGCCCTATAAATGAGCCACCAAAATCTTAGTACCTTGTTCTCATAAGGTTTATATGCCCACCTTCTCTGGCCGAAACTGAGCAACAGATATAATTTTAGCCGGTTCAGCTGGCCTTTCCAAGGGAAGCTCCTACACAGACAGCAACTTGTTAACAATCACACAGAAGGGCAATTGCACATTTGCAGCTCATCTGACACAATTACACACAAGCTTTTAAATCAAAAACCAAGTTCCCGAGCAAAATGTAGCAAACCTGAAGTCCAGAAGTATCACAAGGAGGGTAGACCCGCTTAGTCCGTTGTGGAATGCTCCAGAGCTTTTCGATATGGGACTGAGTCCATGACGAATTAACCATAGCAAGATGAGCACAAGATCCTACAATCCCATACATCCGGCTAAACAAATTGTAGTATACGACTTTGCAGCTGGACAACCAATTGCTACAACAACAACAACAATTCAATTCAATTCAAGTTCTTTTTTCGGCTAAACAAAAAAATGCGAAAAGTGATCATCTTCCACCCATTTTGTTTCAATGGGTTTCATTACCAGCAATTAGCAAATGTGAAAATTGACAAATAGGCCTACCTCCGAGCAATGAAGTCGTCATTGTTGTACATGGAGCTCCGCCGGCGGACCCGGGAGAGCATGTCGCAGCTGATTGTGGGGTAATGGGTGTAGCAGATAACCCTGCAACCAAACAGCCGAGCAATTGGGTACGTGAAGGCATAGCCAGCGGTGTCGAAGTAGAAAGTTGGAGTGAACTTCGTCAACGCCTCCCATGAGAGGTAGACAGAGCCGAGGCTCTGCCCAATCATCGTCAGCCGCGGGTAGGTGGCCTCCTCGATCCATTTCCTCTTGCTCAAATGCACCACCTTCAATTCGAATCCGAAATTAATGAATAAAAATTGAATTTTGAGAGAAAGGAAGAGGGAGTGACAACCTTGGGTTGGCGGAGGAGGTTGACGCCGAAGCGGTCAACTGCGCGGGCGGTCAAGGACTGAGGAGAAGCGTCGTGGTCGCCGGTGTAGACGAGGCAGTCAAGGGAGGGGTTTTCGTCCTGGATGGCTTTCACGGCGCACCAGAGGACTCGTTCCCCGCCGCCGCCGTCATTGGTGTAGGGGTGGAAGAAGGCGACGGCGCGTTTTCTGTTGCTTCTGCCGGTGGATATTTGGAGGGAGATTCTCAGGATCAGGGCCGAGAGAGCAGTGATCAGACCCCAAATCACGAATTGGTAAGCCATTTGCGTCAGTTGATAGATGTCGTTGGGGGTTGAAAATTGGATAAAGAGAAATCGATGTGGAAATTGGTAGAATTTCTTCTGTTTTTTTTGGTGGGAAAGAGTAGCAGGTCAATGAACTTCAGAGACTCGGAGGCCCGAAAGGCCTAAACTGATAGGATAAAATAACTATTTCGTTTTCAGTTTTTGTTTATATTTTTAAGAAAATGAAAACTAAAGTTTTTATTGCTGGTTACTTTTTTAGTAAAACTGAGACTTACTTTCTACTGTTCAAAAAAAAAAAAAAAGAGAATTACTTTCTATTGAGTTTTCAAATTTAATCTAAAATTTTCACTTTTTAATGTTCAATTATTTTTTTGAAAACTGAAAACTGAGAGTAATTATCAAATACAATTTCAGCTTTTAGTTTTTAAAATGTGAAAACTGAAACCATAAACCGAATACTAAAAACTCAAAATGAAATGATTATCAAACGGCTCCTTGCATAACTCTTTGTGAAGTTGTTGTAGCATTACAAAGGTCGGGTGTGTGTAAAAGTGATAGACTTGTTCGGTGACTACAACCCCGAGAGGGGAACATTGTTTTCCTTCAACCAAAAGCGTGACCATGGTTAATTTGAAAATTTGTATTTTTTTATCATAATTTGGAAGTATTTTTTCGATCATAACAGTATTTATGTAGAAGCAACTGATTTAAGGGTTCACTCTCTTTCGAGTTCATGATATATGATTTAAGTTTGGATTCGGGTCTAGCAAGATAATGCCGTCTTTGATTGAAGGGGTCAGTTTTGGTTGTAGCACTGCTCTCAATGCTTCCCAAGTCCCTGAAAATTTTGCTCCAAATGTTAAAACTCAAATTTGAGTTGTTCCGTAAGTTTCGAATTTTAGACTCAAATTTTAGGTGTTGAGCACTTACATAGCGACGTGAATTTAACTCCGTCAATGACTAATCTAACGTCTAATCAAAAAATATCTATCGTTTGACAAAAAAAAATACCCGTAAACACACCCAAACAAAATGGATTGCCAACTTGTACCGTCGGATTACTACGAATCAGCAAATTCTACCACCGGAGTTGATACTTCGGTCCATGACATACAAAAGACCGATTCAGAAATCGTTCAAAAAAGCCGCACTTCCACCGGAAAACAGATCGTTCGAACAAATACACACCAAGAAAAATTGGAACAAAAGCACAATATCAAAATGATCAGTGTACTGTTTTGTATTATACTCGGACTCGGGCAGGTTCGAAAAACCAGAACAAATAATACAGAGGAGAAAATTCTGAGCTCGCCCTCGACCACCAGCCAAAACAAAAATGCCTCTGCTACAAAAGAATATTACAAGACAACAGAACATATCCACACAACCTATGACACAATTATTTAAGCTGCAACCTTTTCAACCCATAATAAAACAACAGAAGAACAAAATAAAACGATGTGACGGCTCGTGAACCTCATAAAATTACACTAAATGGTAAGTTCTATCAAATAGGTTGCCCTACTGACTAAAACACCAAAATCAAACATCGAACTCCGAAGGGATAGTTCAACATGCCTCAGTAGCTGCTGCCCATTGGTGGCATGCCATAAGGCGGCATGCCCATTGGTGGCATTCCTCCCATAGGTGGCGGTGGAGCATACCCTCCTCCCATACCCCCGCTCATACCAGGAATTGGTGGTGCAGGCAAAGCAAGAGGCAGCAACTGAGCATACATGTTCTGCAAAGCAAGTTAACTCAATAAGTCATTATGCAAAATGACGTTTAAGAAGAGAACAAACCGTAAATTGGGAATGCGGGGATTGACGTGATTAGAACCAGAAGGCATGCAAATTTATAAGATGATTTCAAAGTGTTTACCTGCTGTGCAATTACTTCTTTATCTTCTTGTTCTTTAGCCTTGATCTCCTTTTGCGCTTCAATTTTGTCTTTAACCAGTTCATCAACTTTGCCAGTGTATTCACGGATAAACTGTAAAACGAAGGTTACATAAGGTTCTCAACAAAGTAAGCAAGACTTGATGAAAGAATTCAATAACCCTTTACACGCAAGAATCAGTTAGGACAAGACAAAAAAATTACCTGTAACAGATATGGGAAAGCAAAGTCGATCATGTTGTTCATCCATGCAAGTTCAAGGACAATGTCCGGCCTTATCAAATCGTAACAAACAAAGAGGCACGATGCAAAGCATTCTTTCTTTCCCTGCAATTTGAGGAAGAAAATTCATGAATTATCAGAAATGTCAGCAGGCCGGGCACAACAGTAAAGAGAATGCAATCATAAAATAGAGAATGCATTCACATTGTAAAATCATTAATTCATGAAAAAATGGAGTCTTATAAAGAGTTCCATACCTGTTCAATGAAGTAAACAAGCAACTCCTCGGCCAGTTCACGGTCACCAGATTGTGAGGCTGTCTCCATGGCATCTTTGTAAAGTTTGTCTTTCTTTGACAATCCAATGGACTGCTTCCACCTTCCAGCTTTCTTGTAAATATACGCAGCAACCCGTCTCATTTCCAGAAGCTCATGTTTCTCAATCTGACCAAACAAACAATATAAGGATCTTGCACATGAACACCTTAAACAGAGAACAGACTAGAAATAGAATGCATTTTACCTTTTGAGCGAGGCCTATTTGGTCAAAGCTATCGTGCAAATCAATTGATTCGCGCAATCTTTCATAGTCTTCCTCCTCAACATAAATCTCATTCAAAGCCTCGTTCACAGCAGAGACATTGTTGCTCTGAACTGCAACCATGTATGGCTTCACAAGAAGCAGGTGACCAGCCTACAATTTTCAAGCACAGAAGAATGTAAACATAAAAGCCTATGGAGATAAAATCTAAACTTCCAATGCTTTTTTGTTGGATGGGAGGGCACCAAGTATCTAAGAATCCCGTAAATAAATACATGCACATTCAATTACCTTCCGCATGATGTCAACAACACGTGTGTGATCTACACGAAGCGCGAGCACATTTAGAAGATCAGTTAATGAGATCCGGGTGCTCTTTCAAGTAGAAGTGCACAGCCTTGTAATATAGCTCCACGTTGGCAACTTTAACTGCCACATCTTTGAACTGCATGTGATCCCAGGCTTCAGGGGAGTGATTCATGATGGTAGTTGCAGCATTATCAAACTCATCATATTGAATATACAGATAGGTCAGCTCCTTCCAATGTTGCTGCTCATCACATGCTCTTATAAGCTTGGGGATATTTAGACGATTTGCGAACAATTTGATGTGCTCCATAAGTTTCTCTGGACGATATCTAGCATACAGAACCCCCAACTCAGTAAAGATTCCCATGTGAGCACGTTCTAACCCAAGACCACTCTCCATTAGAGATATAAGCTCATTGAAGCATCCTCTATTCTGGTAGTATTCACTGACCTCTTCCAAGTCATCCACCTATAAAATTCAAATCAACACATAGAATTAGTGAAAACTGTATAAATATGACCAAACCTAGAGTAAAAATTCACCTTAGAAGTATACGAGACATAACAGATGAGAAAGAAAAAAAAAAAAAAAAAAAAACCTGTATAATAATGTTGAGACCACAAATCTGAGCTAAGCGGAACTCCTCAGCATCAACACAAGCAAAGCAAACCTCCTTCCATGTCTTTGAACTGTTAGCTTTTCGTGCTGCATCAACAGCACCTTGAAATTGTTTGAGCTTCACAAGTGTGACAGCCAACTTGGCCCAGTTAGATATGAAGGCATATATTATCTTTGCAGCTTCATAGAGAGCCTCGTCATATAGGCGATCACCAACATTTTGGAGATTAGCGACATTTGGCATAAGAATAAATTCTTCGATGTCAGCAAGCCTATCAATCTTTGCATATGCATAAATGAGCTCACTGTCCACCTTGGGCTCTCTGACCTTTTGCCTAACCATTAGAAGGTACTTCACCAAGTCATGGTACACATCTGCATCCTCAGAAGCACGAATAACATCCAAGAATTGGGTGGCATCATCCGCACGGATAAATGATTCAATAGCATCGCTCACTAGACCCTCCCGAAGTTGAGCCTTTGCAACCTGGCTCCAAACAGCATCTTCCTCCACACGGAAGGCAAACTCCACAGCCCTATCAATGCTTCGGATGTTATCCAACAAGACATTAACAGCTTGTACATTCAAGTTAAACTTCTTGAAGATTGCAAACGCTTCCTCATACAATTGGGCTTCCACAGCTACTTCCCCAACTGCAGGTCCATCAAAATTATCTAGCCTATTAATATAATCCATAACTCTAGACGGATCTGCCTTGATGGCTGTCAAAATTAGCAGGTTTTGCAGATTAAAGTTTCCACTGAAGGCAGAGTTTTGAAGCACAATCTTTTCAAGAAGCTCAATTAATTCGTGAGGCAAATCAGCAGTCATGAAAGCCTTAACAGCCGCAGAAACTTGTTCTGGGCTCTTGCTCTCGGGCAAGGCAGTAGAAACAACTTGATCAATAAGCTGTCTTCTGTACTCATTCTCAGGATCAAGAACTTTCCCCCAAAGATCTTCATCCATCCTCTCAACCACATACCTAGTAACAAAGAATTAGTCAGTAAACCTCCAGGTACTTAAATGAGATGAAATTTGAACAAAGAATTAGTCATAAGATACTAATCACCAACCTTGCTTGCAATTTAAACAATGAGTTCTTATTTGTGACATTAATAAGTTCATCGTCACATTGTCCACGGCGGTAAGCAACAACAGCTAGGGTAGGATCACGTTTCTCACAATATTTACCAACAACACGTGAATCATAATATGGGTTTGTGGTAAGGAAGTGCTCTGGATTATTGCCACTATCAATGATGATTTTACCCAAAGCATTGTGCACATGTACATCTTGGCTTCCCTCACTCACAAGATGCTCCAAGAACTGTGTGAGTAAACGAAGGCGATTCCTAGAGAGAGGGAAAAGAATAAGAAAATTAAGTGAGACAAAAAAGATGATGGAAGGGTAAAAATTAGGATTGGGTGGCATTATGAATACGTACCTCTTCTCACATTCCTCCACAAGGGGCTCCACTGGAAGCAACTGAACGAACAGAAAGAATCAAGCCTTTGATAAAATCTTCAGGGCACTCATCATCTAGCAACTGTCCCACAACTAATGGAGCATTCCCAGGGTTCA